GTCCGAGGAGGCCGAGCTGTCGCTGAGCCTGGCCCGCACCAAGACCCGCTCGTACGGCAGCACGGCCAGCGTGCGGGCGCCGCTGGGCGCCGGCGGCATCGAGCGCCATGTGGAGCACCGGGTCCGCGCCGGCGACACGCTGCAGGGCATCGCGCTCAAGTACGGAGTCACGGTGAGCTGGGCGCGCCGCCGCGGCCGGGCCGGCGGCCACGGGGCGGGGAGGGGTAATGGCTCGGGGCGGGGCACCGGAGGAGTGCTGGTCGAGGAGGCAGCCGTCTGTCCCCCGGCGGCTCAGCCCCCAGCGCTCGCTCCGCGCGCGCTGCTGGCGACAGCAAGGATCGCCAAAGCTGGTCCCGTAGCCAGAGGGGCGGGCCGCCAGGGCTCCCTCGCCAAGTAGGTGCATCGAGTTCCCGGTGCCCTGCCCAGACTCGCACCAGATCTGTCGTGTGAGGAAGGCCAAAGAGGACCAGGGCTTTGGCACCACGGGGAGCCACAGCACCCCAAGTTTCAGTCCCATCATACCACCGTATATTTACTCAAAGCTGAACTGAGGGCAGAGAATTTTGTTTTCTGTGTAAACAAGCGCTGTGATGAGTCAGGAATGTACAGTTTTTCCCGCAGGATGGTTCTGGTTCTATTGATTATGCTGCTTTATTTAGAAGTGAAATTACACCCCTGGGCTCACTGGCAACTGTGAATGTGACACCTGTCGCTAAGCAGCAGCCAAGAACTGTGGTCTAGGTGAGCTGGAGAGCTGTGTTTATTATAAATTTATAAGTGTGTGTGTCTTGGGCATATTGCATTACACCTCTGGGAAGAACATGGAAACCTGAGGGAACATATTGTTTCATTAAAATTACCTACAATTAACTCTGAGCGATGTGATGGCCTTTTTACTTTTGAGTTGTGTATCAGCTTTCAATGTTCTTTCCTGAAGCACCTTAGACAGCAATGGGAAGAAAGGTGATCTTATCTATATCTTTCTCTTAAAGTGAAACTCTTTCTGGCGTGTCACTGAATGACGGAGACTGAGTCATCTATTTTGCACATTCAAGCTGGTACATGTTTACCTAGCAGGTCCTTCTCTCATGTAAACATTTTGAGAGCAGGGATCTTCCTGTGCAGGCCTTTACTGACATTATCATGGGATAGTCCCATTCTGCCCTCTTGGGAGTTTCTAAATGTGGACATAGAACTCCAATTCTAATGTGCATTAATGGGGCCTGGTTTGAGTCAGAGCTAAGCCGAGTTGGGAAATATCAGTAGCTACCTTCTGCTGAATGCCTGCTATGTGCCAGGCATTGCATTTGTCCTGTTCCATCTTGTTCTCGTTCAGTTTGATTTCCTAATAAGCCTTGGAGATAGGTGTAATTAATCTCCTTTTTACAGATGAAAAGATGGATGAGAAGGAAGGATATTTTCCAAGTATGCTTATTCATTGAGACAGCTTGAATTAGCACAGTGAAAAAGCATTTGCTTTTTTCTAGATATTACTTTTAATTTCCACTCTTATATTTATCCTAGTCTTATTGAGAGCTCCCTTAGCTTCTTGGTTACTGAAGAAGGAAGGTCCCTTCTGTCTGGTTTCTATGCATCTTACTTACTAGGCCAGGGTGACTGCACCTAGGAATCCATGATATCCGGAGAAGTGTTATTTCCCTGGTCCCTACCCACAGCAGTCTCTCTGCCACCCACTGCCCTCCACGGTTTCACTTGAGTTGCTTAGAGCTCCTAAACATCCGCTCACTGCAGTTCTCTAGCTTTGATCAAATGCTTTCTAATCCTTGTTTTCTTTAATATACATCCTGTTACTCATAACCTTTCACCCCTTTCCAATAGAGTATAAATTATATTTTTCATTACGCTTATAATGACTTAATTTTAAGATATTAAGCTCAAATATAATGAATTGGAAACTATAATCTATAGGCACAAATAGTCTATTAGAGGATTTCTCAGCCTCAGCACTATTGATGTTGTGGACTAGATCCTTCTTTGTTGTGGGAGGCTGTACTGTGCATTGTAGGATGTTTAGGAGCATCTCTGATTTCTGCTTACTAGATGCCAGTAGCACCCCCCACCCCTATCCAGACATTGCCCAATGTTCCCTGGGAAGAAACTCACTCTTCGTTGAGAACCACTGGTTTATTACATATATATCATTTACTTTGGGCCCTGAACTCTAGTTGATAAATTTTTAGAGACTTTTCCACTGGTTACATAGAACCAGTGAAAGTGATAATACTTACTGTAACAGGGAAGTGATATTCTTGCTTTAGTTAATGTCTGTAGGTATGAATTGGATTTGCTCAATATAAATTGAGATTTTAGGTGGAAGCTAAAAAGGTAGAAAAGTTTTTTTCTTTCCCTGACTGAACAGAAAGAAGTTGAGTGAGTTAAGTTTCTAATATTGACTGCCAAGGTCATCTATAACATGTTTAAATGATTTTTTAGAGAAGTGGGTGATGAGATGTTGAAGATTGAGAGACCCAGAGCAGTGCACCTGGAAATAAAGAGTCAGTCCAGGCAAACAGTTGACTTTAACATCCGTTGTCTGGCCAGAACAGAGCACAGCTCTGTAGTCTTACTTAGAGGAGCAGGAACTCTCAGGGAAGCCTGTCTGCCAGTGGCAGCTCCCCAGCCACCCAGCTGGATGTCCAGGAGGACTTTAGTCCCTTGGTGGGGGAGACTGGGAAGAGCCAGTAGTATTTTAGCTACAAGGAGGTTCCCAGAACAGAGACTCTAACTAGGGGTAAAGATGGAGACCTGGTTGCCAACCCTGGGTTACCAGGGGGACAAGTTGGAAACTGATTATGTGAAGGGGTGCTCAACTGTAGCAACAGGGTACATCCCAAGATGTGAGAATAGATCAGTGTTCCTTCAGCTTACCTGGGTAGGAGAATGCCCTGGGACAGACTCATAGGACTCTAGCTGACCTGGAACCTACCGGATCAGAATGTCCAGAAAAGGAGCCCAGGAATCTTCATGTTTTATAAGCGTGGCCTCTTTATTTGTTCTCAAAGCACTAGGTTTTATGCTATAAATTTTCTGCTTATTTGTTTACTGTTTTGTTTGAGTATCTCTGCCCTAGAGATGGGCCCTGGATTCTATAAATCCAGGAGGCTTTATAGAAAAGAAGAATGTGGATGTTCAAGAACCCAGCCAAGTCTGACACTTGGTGGACCCCAGTTCTTCTGCCAGTGGCTTAGAAAATATCTTGATGACCCTTCCCACCATCCCTTGTAAAGTCATTCATAGTTGTTAATAACTGTCATTCGTCATTTTTTAATTTACTTTTATTGAGCTTGGTTTGTTTGAGGCCCTGTGCTAGATGCTGGGGCTACAAGATAATGCATGCTGTCCTCTTTTTGTTCATGGTGAGTTTATCAGCTACTACTTTCCGCTAGCTTGTAGCTACTTGAGAAGCCAGATTGCTTGTCTGATTCATCTCTGTATATTCTGCGCCTGGCCTGAGTCTGGCACGTGGTGGCCCCTCCACCCATGTGTGCACTTAATACACAGGAAAGCCTGACTGGTGTGAAATCACTGGGCCCTGGAGTTAAGCAGACTCTGAAAGATGGGGCCCAGGGTAGGGGTTGAGTGAGGGGGTGCAGCCAGCTTGGCTTGAATTGCCAAGTTTCATTTGAGGCTGGCTCTCCAACCTACAGAAGAAGACCACTGCCACTACTGCTCCGTGCTTCTTTCCTCCTCTTCCACCAGCAATGGGTCTTTACATTGCATTAAATAGAGGTTTAGATTTGAGCATCTCTAGCAGAGTAAGAGGCATTTGAGGAAGTGGGTCTGGGAAACCGAAACCACTGGGCTGAGTTGAGGAATTATTAAGTACAGTTCAGATCTGAGACATGAACTTGAACTAGCTTGGGCTGTATTTCCCTGGCTCTGCTTATCTCCACTGAGACATTAAGGCCCCTTCCCTATCCCAGTATTCTAGATTTAGCTATGACTTTTGCAGTGATCCTAGCTCCTCTCAGTTGGCTTCAAGCCTCTGGAGGAAACGGACCAGCTCCAGGCAGCCTTGTGAACTTTTTGTTTGGAAACCCTGGGAAAACGTCCAGAGAACGGTATAGAAACTGAAAGTGGGTAGGAGGCAGGGAGGGGATCTATTATTTGCATATACTTTTTCTTTGTCTCTTTGCTCCCCGCCTGGCAACTTGCCTGTCCTCTCCCCTCTCCAGAGGCCACATTGACCCCCGTGCCCTCAGTCACTTCCTGTCCAGTTCTTTTTTTTTTTTGTGAGGAAGAACAGCCCTGAGCTAACATCCATGCTAATTGTCCTCTTTTTGCTGAGGAAGACCAGCTCTGAGCTAACATCTATTGCCAATCCTCCTCCTTTTTTTTACGCCAAAGCCCCAGTAGATAGTTGTATGTCATAGTTGCACATCCTTCTAGTTGCTGTATGTGGGACGCGGCCTCAGCATGGCTGGAGAAGCGGTGCATCGGTGCGCTCCCGGGATCCGAACCCGGGCTGCCAGTAGCAGAGCGTGCGCACTTAACTGCTAAGCCACAGGGCCGGCCCCTCTGTCCAGTTCTATTCCCAGAGTTTTCTCTTTCTGTAAGCCCAGTCGCTTCTTAATACTTCCCCGAACAGAAGTCACCTTGCTGAGAAAAGGTGAAATGATTGTCATTTTAGGAGGAACAAGTGTTGTGAGTTAGAAATGTAAGTGTATGTAAATCTTTCATATTTATAACTTTAGCCCCTGCTGCTGATGGAAATTCTTGACTCTTGCTGGTCAAGGGAAGAGAACCATAAATAACTAGTGCCACCTGTAGTGAGAGGTACGGTAAATAGCCTTTAGTAGTTTGCAGTTTTAATATCTTCTCATGTATTTTTAATTTAAAAACAGCTTTATTGAGGTATAATTTCCATGCCACAAAATTCACCCATCTGAAGTGTACAATTCAAGGACTGTTAGTAAATTTGCAGAGTTGTGCACCCTTCACCACAATCCATTTTTAGAACAGTTTCATCACACTGAAACGGTCCCTGTGCCCATTGCACTTATTCCCTGTTTCCTTCTCTAGTCCCAGCAACCATGAACCTACTTTCTAAATCTATAGATTTGCCTTTTCTGGACATTACATATAAATGGAATCTCATATATTCTTCTGAGATAGCATGGGGAAGAAATAAATCCTTTTCCCCATTAGCGT